ATCGCCATGTGATAAACAGATCTCTCCAATAACCAGGTCTAGTTGGAAACATAAATATGAAGGTCAGATAAAATATGCAAGCTGAAGATATAGTAGCTTCACATCCCCACTGGATATATAGATCATACCTACAGGTGTTATGCAAAGATATGGAACAAACGGGGTTTCCCAAAGAGAAAGTGTTAAACATTAGAAAAGGCCTAGGCTGAAACTCCAGAGTGAAACACATTTCAAGTAGTAGATAAGCTCAATGAAGGAGTCTGAGAGAGGTACAAAGAAAACCAGGAGGTAATGGAGAACTCAAGAGAAAACAGTTCCAAGAAGGAGGAACAGGTCTCCTCATTCAACTTTTTTTTTTTTTAATAAAATTAAATTTAGTTGGGCATAGTGGCTCAAGCCTGTAACCCCAGCACTTTGGGAAGTCAAGCTGGGAGGATTGCTTGAAGCTAGGAGTTCTAGACCAGCCTAGGCAGCAAAGCAAGACCCTGTCTCTACACAATATTTAAAAATTGGCCAGGCATGATGATGCACACCTGCTTCTTTAAAAGAATCAGTGTGTAGCATCTGCTTCTTTAAAAGAATCAGACTCGTAGCCTGAGGACCTAAGTTTTAAGCTGTTTATTTTTAAAGGGTATATCCTTTATACTTATTTTAAGTTTTTTTTCTTCATTCCAAGCAGGGCATGCACATCATAAAAATTTTTTGAAGATCCAGACAGTAGAGCCAAAATAGGAAGTTTAAATCTTCCTCTACTCCCATTACCCAGAGGCACAAACTGTCAACAGTTTCTAAATTTATTTCCTCTGATGGTGGTCTTATATTTTATATGAGATGCCTCCATGCTTTTTAAGAACTGTGCTTTTTTTAAGCATATGTATGCTAACCCACAATTTCCTAAGATTCTCCCCAGAAGCAACACATCTTGGGTGCTTCTCAAGCATGCTCCCAGAGAATACATTATCTAGGTTATCATTTAAATGATTTTCAAGTGAAAGAAAACTGCAAAATGTTAACAACTTTTGCGTTTTAATATAATGTGAATGCAAGCACAGAAATATTGTAGGTAAAGTGCAGGCTTCTTTTCCTTTGGAAACTCTCATTTTACATAATTCTCCAAGGTGACATTCCTTTGGAAACCCCTTCAGACACAATGTTATTCCCTTCCTCCCTTCTGCTCAGGGTCTTTGCTATCCCTTCATACACAACGCACAGACTCCTCATCCCCAGATTATTGACACTCAAAGGAAGACATGCCTACCCCAAAATGAATAGGTGTGCATCTTACTTTGTTATTGGGGTTCCCTGTGACTGTTCTTTGATTCTGCACTGTGATATCCTTTGCACGTAAGCTCACCTTATATATGTAGTAGAGATTAGCCTCATTTCTTAGGATGGTATACAAGATAAACTCTCTTTTTACCAAATTCTGATCATCAAAATAAAGTTCAAGTTTTGGAAGGATACTTTTTAAACTGTGATATTATTTCTTTAAAATGACCACAACACAGTAAAATTTTCTGGCCATTTGCACACCATCAATTTTGGGTGGCCTTTTCTAGGAGCTAAAGGAGAGAAAACTAAAGACCATGTAAAGTTATGTATTAGTTTATATTTACTTTTGAAGCACTTATTGTATGTTTCTATTACTGATTTATAATCATATGATAAGAACTTCCATCTTTATATGTATTTCCTAGTTGTTTTAAAGGTACTGAGGCCGTACTATACTAAGCCTTCCAATAAGAACATATGTTGGGACTCAGTTTTTGGTTTAACATAAATTCTGAGATTCTGTGAATACTAAAGTGAACCAAGGCAAATGAGAGAGAGATACTTCTTAACAGTAGAGCATGATGCTACAGCTTTTCTGTGGTTTTGCTCCTTTTTATTTTCCTTTTAAGAACAACATATAATGAAAAGCAATTTTTTTATTGTTTTGTGAATTTTCTTCCCATTTTAATAACCAGGTCAGATGAGTTGCATGAATGATTGAATTATAAAAGTGGCTGTTGTATAATGAGTGCTGTTTAGAAATGCTGACATGTAAATTACTGAGTTAGTGGTCTCAAATAGTTAAACTCATTCATTAGAGAAGAAGTAAAAACTGTGTTTTGCATATGTCAGACTCTGTTCTTAGCACCAAGAGACATTCGTGCAGAGCCCTTCATCTTCACCATCAAAAGATTCACAGCCTGCTGTGTGAGGCAGCGTGTAGGCAACCAGCCTGATAGTGTCATTGCTACTGGAATAAGAGTAAGGAGAAATAAATTCTGCCTGGAATCTTGAAAGAGGTTCTACTGAGGAAATAAAGGTTATCCTGTATTTTATAGAAAGAGAGAGACTCTGGAAGTGAGGAAAGATATTCAAGCTGGGGGCGCCAAGGATATTGAGGCCTGACTCTGCTTTGATAATGAGTCTGGAGACGAAGATGGAGCTCAGAGGAGTTATTTATACGTCAGGCTACATCACGCTGCAGGGTGAGAGGTTAAGTCAGCTGGGCTTCCGGGTGGGGTGGGGACTTGGAGAACTTTTCTGTCTAGCTAGAGGATTATAAATGCACCAATCAGCACTCTGTAAAACGCATCAATCAGCACTCTGTAAACAATGGACCAATCAGCACTCTGTAAAACGCATCAATCAGCACTCTGTAAACAATGGACCAATCAGCACTCTGTAAAGTGGACCAATCAGCAGGACGTGGGTGGGGGCAAATAAGGGAATAAAAGCTGGCCGCTCCAGCCAACAGGGGCAACTCTCTCAGCCGCCCTGTGGAAGCTTGTTCTTTCACTCTTCATAATAAATCTTGTTGCTGCTCACTCTTTGGGTCCGCATCAACTTTAAGAGCTGTAACACTCACCGCGAGGGTCTGCGGCTTCATTCCTGAAGTCAGCAAGACCACGAACCCACCAGGAGGAACAAACAACTCCGGACGCACCACCTTTTAAAAGTTCTAACACGCACGGCGAGGTCCGCCGCTTCTCTTGAAGTTAGCGCGACCAAGAACCCACTAGAAGGAAGAAACTCCGGACACATCTGACGGAACCAAGTCCGGACACAATGGCTTCTAAGACGTCACTGACAATGAGAGCAGCGAGTGAGGCCCGTCCCTGCCAGGGCAAAACCAAGGCAGTAGCTTGTTCTTGTCAGTCTGCACCCACCTGAGGGCTCACCGCATATAGGGGGATGTCCTGTCAGGAGCATGACAGTGAATGGGTCAGTGCATCATTAGGACATATGTTGAGAGAACCTTTCCACCCCGTCCCCCTTTTTTGACTCCCCCTCGTGCCTACAATTCTGTTTGTAACCTTCTCCAACTTGGTCACAACTATTATTCCCGGAGCCATCCCTCCTCCTAGCAACTGGAAGATGAGGTGTTCCTAGAATCTTAAAGATCTCTAACCATGAAGCTGTGCGGAGCGGTCTTTGAAGGAGGAGGCTGCCTCTCAAAGCTCCAGGAGCAGCAGGAGACTGACTCCAGCCTAGATGACCTTGGACGCCAGAGCAGACTTCTTAGAAAACAAGGCTTTGCTTCCCCACCTTTTACGTTTTCTCCATTTGTAAGTTCTGTCTCTGCCCAAAGTTAAATATAGATGACCCAATTGATCTGTACAGATATTACCTACAGCAATACCCATTGTCATTTTGTGTATTTTGGCAAAACAAAAAACAAAAAACAAAAAACTACAACAACAACAAAAAACAGAAAACAATCTAAATTTCTAACAATAGGGTGTTGGTTGGATAAATTATGGTATATCCATAAAATGTTATATGACATGGTCATTATAAATGATGGAGAAAAGAATATGTAATAGCAGTACGATGATCTTGATTCCTAAATGTTAGAATTATACATGATTTTTTCTTCTTTGTGCTTATATGCAATTCCTAAATATTCTGCAATGCAGATAAGAAAAGGGAAATGTTTTAAGAAAAAGGAAATGTTATTGTTTAAATCAGCAGTGTTTTTTTTCCTCTATTTTGAGGCCCAAAGACTCTTGGATTCAATACCGTTTAAAGCAACTATAATTTGTTTGAATACTTAAAGCACATCTTCGTATATAATTTACCTAAGAACCAAGAGTACATTTCTGGACATTTCAAAGCTATAATTTCAACTGTGATCCTGGAAACATGATAAATCCTCAAGAGTAAAATGTGTGAGTAAAATTTGTGTCTCCATGAAAACCCCTTGACACCTTTCACATAGATTTTATTTATGTGAAGTTTGGGCAGATACCATCCTTTTTATGATTTCTGAATCCTACCATTTAATACACTATCTCTTTTTCTCTTTCTGAAGCTTGGAACTTAATAGTTACAAGTGTATAATACGGTAGAAATTTTTTTTGTCTCTCATGCAATTATACCTTATTGCTTGTCATAGTTTAACATTGGTTTCAGATTAGCAATTTAAACAATTTTTTATTACTTTGATTTTGGAGATGTCAGAAAAAGCTTCATAAATATTCTTGTTAGGAAAGAGCATTCTTATGAAATGGAAACTCTGGGGTGGGCTAGCTGAATATGCCCTATAAAGAAAATATAGAAAATGTTAAAATAATGAGCAGATCTTACCTTCCAATTGCATTAGTTAATCTTTGGAAACCAGGGAGACAGTTTTCAGGAAGTTGGGTTAACACTTAAAAGCCACCTGGGTACCATACAATCCAAGAAAGCAGCAATTCAGAAGAGCTAATGGTACTTTTGAAAAGTGCTTTACTTATTCCTTGGGGGAGTCGTTCAGACATAAGGAAAATCTGGCTCAGATATTCGTGGTTTTATAGCTGCTATATCCAAGAAAGTTGGAGTGAAATATAGGCATTATCTAAGAAGCCTCTTTATGTGCCAACGTGCTTTATTTAGTCCTAATTGCAGATAGGGAAACTGAGGTCCCTGAGAATCTATTCGTATTTGCCCAAAGACATAATAAACCAGATAGTAAAAACTAGACTTCTCACAAATTTGATATATATTTTTAAAAAAACTTCAAAGTGTGTCTGATTTTGTTCACATGTTCTGAATATTTGTTAATTCATTAACTCCAGATATGTGGACAGCTTGGCTTGATTTGAATAACACTTTGAAATTTAATGCACAGCCCCCTTCTCAGTGTGATAAAATTTTGGCTCCAGAAATGACTGTAGTTCTTGAAAGTCTCCCATCACATATATCTTCTCACAAAAGTGTAAGAAACATATCTCTTTCTTTAACTCCTGGCTCAGATTCAGGTTGTAAAGATACGTGGTTTTCCAAACACCTGCGTGAATGTTAGCAAGATCCAGATCTGCTTGAGGGACCTCTGTGTTTTTCTCTGAATGTTTTCTCCACCAAGCACTGATCCAAGATCTGCTTCAAATAGCATATATTCTTTCCTGAAAGATCTTTTCTTATCCCTTTCAGGAATGATTAGGAGAAGCATGTGCGGTAAGCCTGACTGCAAGGCTGTTAATGCTGAAAAGAAAGGTATTGGTTAGCCCAGAGTACTGAAGACGAGAGAAAAGGCTAAGTGATTTTGAAACGATTTTTAGGAGTGGAGCAGTGTAACTTAAGCTGCACTGGAATGCTGAGGGATAAGGTTCCTTCAGACTTTCTCATGAAGGAGATAAAACACCAAAAGAACTGGAATTGGGGCTCCAAACATTTAGAAAAGACCCTAGTCCTTTCACTTGTAATGGTGTGATATCTAAATTGTTCATGAATACTCTTGGGCATGCTTGATGATCTATGAATATGTAACATCAATTTGGATTTAACTCTTGTTCAACTGGGTTCTTCTAAAGATCATGAGAAACTAACTGTCCTTTTCTCAGGACTTGATGCTGTTAGTCGGCTAATCGTCAGTAGGAACTGCAACTCTCAATTTCTTCTCCAGTGATAGTGACAAATTTGTCACACATGGTTTTCTCTCTCTTGTTTCTCCCACTTATCACCAATGGCTTGTGTTTGCAAAAGACAGCTATGCACTTTGAAGTTAGACCTTACAAAGTGTGCGACCTTCAGCCTTCAACAAGATGACTTAACTTCCCCAAGTTTCAGCTTCCTCCTCTGTAACCTAAGAGTCATCCTAGTGTCTACCTTAGAGATTTCTTCTGAATGTTATACAAGAAGATGCAATGTAAAGGATTTAGCCCAGTTCTGGCATGCAGTAATTTAACACAAATAACAGTAACTAATATTTATTAACTGCTTATTATTTGCCAGGCAAAGTTCTAAACACTTTCTACATATTAACTCACTTAATAATATTGTTAAGTCCATTTTTCAGATGTGAAAGTGGAGCTACCTATTTATTGAAAGTTTAAAAAATGAATAAATAATGCTACTTTCTTACTTTCCCAAGCTGGAATAGAATTGAGAGCTAGACATTGGAGTAAGCCAGATGAATCTCAAAATATTGCTTTTATTATTGATGAAGGCAATCAAAGGAAATACCTCAGATCTTTACCCTTGCTAATATTTTGTCCAAAAGACAACATGTCCTCCTGCTTACAGACATCACTGCACAATTGCAGGTTTCCTCAGGAAGAGCAAGCAAATTATGATGTGCCGAGAGCCCAAAAAGTGTCCTTTTTGCAGGAAGTCAGACCCGAAAACAGGAAAGAGATGACTGAACTGAGCATGCCCAGTTCTTTCTCCCAACTCCTCCATCAGGTAATACTTTGTACAGTCAGGACAAAGCAATAAGGGATGGGGAGAGAACAAGGCATTAGGCTAATAAAAAATCCCATGATATAAAAAAATTGAAGCCAGGGTCTGAGAGGTTCTCCAAATGTCATCATCATCATTATCTGTATTAAGATTCAATTTCTTTATATCCAGATATGTAGGATGAACAAGTCTATAGACACAATGTACAACATGAGAACCAAAGTTAACAAAATGGTATGGTATTAGAGATTTTGGTTAAATCAGTAGATTTTTGCTGCTCCTGTCACACACACACGAAGTAACCATGTGAGATGATAGCTTTGTTAATTTGCTTCACTTTGGTAACAGTTTGCTATTTATATGTATTAATATCCCAGAGCATTATGTTGTGACCCTCAAATACACACAATGCTATCTATGTTTTTCAAGTTTCATTTCAAAAAAATAAATACTGGAACCTTCAGATTTTAGAAATTTCCATTTCTATTGGAAAATTGTGTTTCTAAGAATTTGTCTGTTTCATATAAATGTTCACATTACTTAGCATAAAGATGTTTATATATCCCCTTACTATCTTTTCAATGTCTGTAATTTCTGTGGCAAAGTTCCTTCCTTCAGCCCTTGATAAAAATTATTTGCACCCTGTCTTACTTCTTCTTAATCAGTTGTGCTAAGAATTTATGTATTTTCTTACTCTTAAAAAATTTAATATATTGTCTTTGTTGAATCTGTTGACATTTGCTTTCTGGTTCATTGATTTTTGTTCTTATCTTTATTATTTCCTTCCTTCCATTTTATTTGATTTTAATTATATCTAACTGTTTGAGATAGATATTCAGATCATTAATTTTGATCTTCCTTTTTCAACTACATACATTTGAAAGTCTGAGAATGACTTTAACTGCATACAAGTTTTGATATATATAATACTCACTATTACTCAGTTTAAAATATGTTCTAATTTTTCATTTTCTAGTTCCACTTTTTTCATTTGCTTTATTTTATATATTTCTACCCAAATTTTAGTGTAGTCACAGAACATGAAATCTCTGACTAACTTCAATCATTTGAATTTTTACAAGAAAGCTCTATAGCTTAGTATGTTGTCTACATTTTGGTAAATATTTCTTCAGATATCGGGTCAATTTGTTACTTAGTATGTGTAGATCTTCTATATTTTATTAATTTTTTGTCCACTGGTTGACACTTGGTTCTCTGATTGTGGCTTTATCTACTTTCCCTTTTAATTCTGTGATTTTTTCCATATGTATTTTGAGGCTATGTTTTTAGAAACAAATCTAGAATTGTTATATATTCTTGGTGAGTTGTCCATTTTACCATGATAAAATGTTTTTCTTCATGTCTAGTAATGCTTTTTCCCTCAAAATCTACTGTGTTTGATATAAGAATAACTATACAACTTTCTTTTGATAAGCATTTATATGATCTCAACTTTTGTATCTGTATATTTAAGCTGTATATTATGTTCCAGATCTAGATATATATAGGAATATTGATACAGGTATGATACAAACATAAAGATAGATCTGTATCTACTATGTTATCTACATCTAAATTTATGTCATTATTACTTTAAAAGTATATTTACTACAAATATCTATCTAGTATTTAACAAACTGGCATCATACTACACACAATATTTTGTAACCTGCTCTTTCCTACTTAATATATATTATAGAAGTCTCTATTGATGTCTATGTTATTTTTCAACATTTTATTATGAAAAATTTCAACCATATAGCAAAGTTAAAAGAATTTTATAATACTTGTGTATCTATCGCTTAGATTCCACCAACAGTTTACTAGTAACTTGCTTTATCATGTATCTGTACATCTATTAATCCACATCTATCTCAGTTTAGGTACTGTGATATTGTGAAATATATATTTGGGCTATATCATCTATATCTATACCTAGAAAAGATTGTGCATACTATAAAAACCTTTCTCTCTGGGTAGGGTTGGATCATGGGATTAAGAGATGCAGAAATTTCACCTTTTATTTTATACACATCTATATCATTTATGATTTAGATGTTATAAAGTAAGCAAGAATTGATTTTAAAAGAAAAAAAATGCATCTATTTTTTAAAATATGGATTCTCAGACCTGATCCTTAGACATTCTGTGTCAGTAGGTGTGAAGACCAGCCTGCTTTTGACCAGCATGCGGAGCGTCTCTCTACGTATGTCCTGCAGGTATTTCTTGAACATGCAATAAGTGCCAGACACTGAAATTCAGCTTTTCCTTGAACTATCCCATTGACCACTCACAACCACCATACGAATTAGGTACTATTGTTAACCCCTTGTGAGAAACAAGAAATTAGGCACAGAGAAATTAGGTAAATTCCCCCAGATCATATGGTGGCAAGCAGCAGAACAGGTGTAGAGCCTAGGCTCTGATTTTAGTCCATGCACCTCTGTGAAGAAAAAAGTTTGTTTTTTTCCTCTGCTCTCACACCACAAGCATCAACACATTAGACTTCTGTGACCTCTGGCCACCAACAAGTTTGTGAGATTTCTTCTCACCAATAACCAACCAGTCAATTCTGGGGCAGACACCAGATCTGACGTTATCTACCTGGAGATAGCGGCAGTTCCCACAGGTTGAGGGCTCAGTCCCATATGACTGCTCCTGACTTGCCATGCCAATGGCAACTCCCAGGTTGTTTTGTGCTTCTGACCTACTGACTATAAGTTGGGGTTCCCACGAATACCTGTTTGGATTCTATTAATTTGCTACAGTGACTCACAGAACTCAGAGAAAAAAATGATTACCAGTTTACTTAAAAGGATATCACAAAGGATGCAGATGAAGAGATGCAAAGGGTAAGGTACAGAGGAAGGGGTGTAGAGCTTCCATGCCTCTCTCTATGTATTCCATGCCTTCCCCAGGTGTGCCACCCTGGAGGAACCTCCCTGTATTCCTCTATCGGAAAGCCCCCAAACCCTGTTCGTTTTGGATTATTTTTATAGAAGTTTTATTGCATAGGCATGATTGATTAAACCATTGGCCACTAATGATCAACTTAGCCTTCAGTCCCTCACCCCTCCCTTGAGAATGGGGATGGCTGAAAGTCCCAACCCTCTAATCTTGCTTGATCTTTCTGATGACCAGCCCCATCCTGAAGCTACCTAGGGGATACCAGCCACCAGTCAACTCACTATCGTACCAAAGCTATCACTTGGGAGATTTTAAGAATTTTAGGAGTTGTATACCAGGACAGGGTGTAAGACCAAATATTTCACCATATCACAGCACCTAAACTGAGAAAAACTCACAATTTTCTCATTTTAAAATTAATTAATTCAAAGAAGAAAGCGTCTACATGAGCCAGACAAGGGAGGTGGCAGCCACTGTCTATACAAAACTGAACAAGACACCTTCTCTCACTGGAGGAAGTTTGCAGTCTATTGAGAAACCTAGAGCATTTTGATACCGTCTGGTAAGATCTTTGGTAGGAATAATCGCAGGGCGTTCAGGCAGCGTATGGCAAGGGCACCTGACCCATTTGGGGGGGTGGGGGTAGGGCTGACAGGAAAAGAGTTCCTGGAAGAACAATGTAAAGGTGAGACCCGGAGATGAGCAGGAGCCAAGTTAACCTGAGCATCCTGCTGCATGCCTCAGGATGTGACATCAGACAGGACAGGAAATCCAGACCAGAGGGAATCACAAGAAGAAAGGCATCCTAGCAGAGGGGCCTCCACATGCAACACTCTAGGGTCAAGCGAGATCATGGCACATTTCAGTTTTGTGTCACGGCAAGAATTATATTTCTAAAACACAGATGTCATTCTATTGAAAAACCTCTAATGGTTTCCTGCTCCCTGCAGAAAAAGGTCCCAACTCCTTAGCAAACATGCAAAGCCCTTCCGAATTGGCTCATTTGATTTCTACTACACCAGCCATCCTGAATAACATGAGTGCCCCAGTCACATCCTCACTCACACTTTTCCCTCTGATGAGGTAGTAGCCCTTCTCCCTTTTCTACTCTATGAATTTCTACCTATTTTTCCCAGTCCACTCAAATGTCACTTCTTCCTTGGGCACCCAGATGAAATGAGATGTTTCTTCATTATTGTTCACATAATATCTCTTACATGCCCTAATGTTTGAAATATTGTATTATTAGTTTTTTGTTTATGTGTGTACCTGGTCTGATGGACATGGGGCTCCTTGACAGATCAAATATTTCTCTACCCTATGCCTATTGGGTTGTGTGGCCTTCAAGAGGCCTTCAATAGGTACTTTTCATGTTCTGTGTCACTCAGGCTGGAGTGCAGTGACACGATCTCAGCTCACTGCAACCTCCGCCTCCTGGGTTCAAGAGATTCTCCTGCCTCAGCCACCCAAGTAGCTGGGATAACAGGCAACCACCACCATGCATGGCTCTTTTTTTTTTTTTTTTTTTTTTTTTTATAATTTTAGTAGAAACAGGGTTTCACCATGTTGGCCAGGCTGGTTTCAAACGCCTGACCTCAAGTGATCTGCCCATCTCAGCCTCCCAAAGTGCTAGGATTACAGGCATGAGCCACTGCACTTGGCCCAATAAGTACTTTTGTAACTGAATTGATTCAGAAACCACTTTTGTCCATTATTGATTAGATATTTCCAATTTCATGTTTTTCCTTCAATTGAGAGTTATACTGGTCAGTTTGTACAGCCTACTTTTCAGTTCAAGAAATCTGGCTCTTATAATTTCATTATAAATAAATATCCGTTTAAAAATTAAGTGGGACCCAGGTAAAATTTTGGGCTTAACTAGAGTGCTATAAGAAGAGATGTGGAGTGTGATAATTCAGCATAGAATCCACCTTCAGATTTCATTCCTGGGCACTGGTCCAGGAAATCAAAGATCCCCACTGAGTGCCCCTCTTTAGATTAAGAGATTATGTATAGCCAACCTATGAAGCAGCTCACAGAGCAGAGCCCGGGAATCTGCATTTATGACAATCTCCAACCCTTGCCCCCAAACATATCCTCCCTCCGTTCCTGCTCCCTCCCAGGTGATTCTTATGCACAGTGAAGTTCCGGGGCCACTGGTAATAACCTTCCCTAGCAATATAATCACTCACATTTTCCCAGTTCAATTGCGCTTTTCTGGGAGGTATAACTGAGGGCACATTTTATAGAACAGCATGAGAGATGCAGTTAATGGTACGTCAGTGAAATCAAGTAAGTAATAAATACATTAAAGTGCCAGTAATATCTTTGACACAAGAATGATTACAAAGAGTTTGAATTTCTAGTAGTTCCAATCTAAAAAAATTGTAGTCATGAGCCAGAGATTTAAAAAAATGTTTTCATGTTAATTAATTATGCAGTTCTATGTGGATATATTTGTAGATCTTTTAAAATCATGATCCTGATTTCCTAATGTACCCTTTTGCATGAATATTAAAGTTATCAGTCAATAATCATCACCAGAAGTAATATAACACTAGTGTGAACATCTGCCTTGACAAGGAAGATGACAAATGTCACCATATGTCACACATGGTTATTATTATTCCAAGGTCTTATTATTGCGAACTTGTATACCATGGGTTAAATCATATTCACAAGCTTGAAAACCAGAGTGCAGAAAAGTACAAACGTTTAAAACACATATATAACACAGCTTTCTTTTGTAGGCAGAGAGAGAAAGAGCAAGAAATATTTAAATATATACCATTTGGAATGTTTTTAATAATACTAGTTTGTGGCAAAAAAAAAATCATAGGATTGAGGTTTGGTGAATATAATAATAATAATTCTAGCACCATTCATTACCTCCTATGTGCTCCAATTGTGCTGGAACTTTCTATACTTAATCTCTAGTTCTCATAATAACCCTCCAAAGACAGTATCATTTCAACCTTCACAGTTGAAAAAATCATGTGTAGGCAATTGTGTAAGGTCACACAATTAGTTAATGACAACACTAGTTTCTGAATCCAAGACTCTCTGACCTCAAAATTTATTCTCTTTCTCCTTTAGACCATAAACTGCATAAGGGCAGAGCTTTTGCCTGTTTTTATTTTCTACTGCATTCCCAGAGACTTGAACAGAATGTGGTAAATAATAGGTGCTCAATAAATAAAAGAACAATAGCATGCTTGTCCAAATGAAGAATTTTATCCTTGTGCATTTCTCTACCCTTAATATCCTTTCTCTAAATCCTTAATTCCACAGTTTATGATAGATAGTACCCTAAACCAAACAAAAATTATATTAATAATGATGATAGGGAACAAAATAATAATTAAAATGTTCAATTATTTCAAAGAAGGGCAAGAAAGGAGTAAAAAAGGAACATAGGATGAATGGGACAAACAGAAAACAAACAGTAAGATGTAAAATTTAAACCCAATGTATCAGCAACTAAATTTAGTAATAAGTTAACAGATTGCTCCAATTAAAAGATAAAGAATATTAGACAAAATTTAAAAATTATGTCCATTTTGTTTACTTAATTTTTGAAATTCTTCCCTTTTATATTTTTTATAAAGGTGAAAATGGATTCTCAGAAAGTTAAGACGCTTGCCAAAATTACACAGGTAATGAGTGGCAGAGTCAGGATTTGAGCCCAGCTTTCCATCCCAAGTGCTCCCTTGCGGCCATTTAACCTGGACTCAGCCAAGACCAGGATCCATTGAGCTTGGCAAGAACTGTGCCAAGGCCATCCTTAGGGGCAAAGCCAAACTGCAGCGGGGGATGATGAAGGGTAAAGTGTAGTCCCACCACAATGAGGAATAAATGTTATTTTGGAATGAATAGAATTTCTAGAAAGTGTTAAGGAAGAAATTGACGTTGGAAACCGCAGACTCGTGATAGAACCAATATATGAAAAATGTGTGCTTTGTTCTCTAGCATTACCTGGCAGTCCTGGTTAAGAGTGGAGAAAATGGATAGTTGATTGATTCTGGGTTTGTGTTATGCTGGAAAGTGGCAGAAGACAAGATGGACAAGGAAGATTAGGGTATGAAAGAGAGGTTAATGAAGGTTAACAAAATTCGATTTTGGAGAGTGTAGGCTGGGTAGGGAGGCTACAAAGAGAGTGAGTGCAGTGATAGAAGGACCAGACACCTAAATGAGACTGAAGAGCAGGTGTCCTGGGAGGAAGAGAGAGAGAGAGAGAGACCTAGAAGGATATGAGCCTGCAATCATGGAGAGTAGAATGGGTGTCCAGACCACATCTTGTTAAGGCATCCTAGAAATAAATTAGAAACAAAGGTAGAACCAGTTAGTAGATTTAATTTTGAACATTAAATTTTGGGCAGAAAGATACAAGCCTTAGGCTGCAACTCACTTGTCATTCTTACCTGAACTATCATTTTTGTGCAATTCTTAAAAACTCAGATCAAAGATCATTAAAAAATTCTAAATTCCTCCAGGTAACAGATTGCTTTATCTGAATCACTCATTTTTTTTTTTCAAAATGGGGAGGAAGAAAATAGTTAAAATTAGCCACCGTTTTATAATACATTTGCTGAATCCAATTAGTAATTATTTTTTAACATGAGCAGTTGGTGTAAGAGTGATGATAATATATTTACAATATAAACTTAGCATCATTAATGAGATTGTCATTTCTATATGGAAGCCAGACTGTCAGAAGCTGTCCCCTTTATGACAGAGAGTTGCTGTTTTAGTTATGGGAGGGGAATGGTACTAGTTAAAGAACTCTTAAAAAATGACCCTGCATTAACAATGTGTGGCAGACTATATGTTGGAAGAGCAGAAATGTGTACAGTTTTTCAAGACTTTCCATACAAAAGATTAGCAATTTTTATCCAATTAACAGCAATTAACTGTTTAATATTAACAGTTAAAGCGCATCTTAAATACCTATCAACATAAGAGTGTGGCTTTTTTACAATGAAGTATTGACATGGGTGGAAACTCCCTGATTCTTGACAATACATGTATCTTTTTGTACTATTCTTAAGTAGTCTAATATTAGCCTTTTCTCTTCTAAATTCCCATATTTGGATACAGAGTGAAACTTTCTTTTCACTTCTCATTTAATCAGCTTTGGCACCAACCCCCACCCCCTCTGTCAACTTGATATTCAGCTTGAGTCTGACCTAATTCTGCTCAGGCAATAAACTCACTCACTTTTGGGTCAAAAATAGGAGTAAGGAAAAAGATGTGGGAGAGGAGAGATATCAAGTCTTTCTTGTGTTAAACTGCATTTGGACATCAGCCTGATACATTTGGATACTTTTTAAAATGCCATGCACAGTTCAAAGAGCTGCCTTAGTTCATATTAACCCGTGATTGAGTTTAACACAGTCCCACTCGTCCTCTCCAGGCCCAGCTATGCATAGCAGAGTAGGGTGGAAAAGGGTGTAACGCCTGGAGTTGGTGGTTCCCAGCCCTTGTGTGTATGTTCCCAGTGCCCTTCCAGGTTCTGGAATGACTGGTGCTGTTGTGAGTAGAGGGCGGACCTTCAGCCTTGGCAGCCATTGTAGACATTGATTTCTGCTGCCTGGTCATCTCCTGTGTATTACCCGGTGGCAAAGCTCTTGCATGTTTCAGTAAACAGAGGACCGTCCTTGGGTTTCAGCTTCACTTGACACCATGCCTCTTCTCTCTGCTCACTGATGTGAAGTCTTCCAACTGACTACCATCACCACAGCAGCATGGATCTTGAGGAGTTGAAATCTCCATAATATAACTCAAATTGGGGAAAATATAGCTGAGCAATTCTTTCTATTTTGTCATTTTGAAATTTTGTTCTAGAACTTCATTCCCAATAATGGGCTCCAAAGCATAACTGGGCTTTGCTAGACACTGTGAGTTGCCTACCTAAAGTCAATTATCTTCTTTTTTTCTCGCCAAAATACTGTAATTTTTTCCCAATTGCAGAATATCCAGCCAAAGTTTATGCTTCCCAGTCTCCCTTGTGGCTGGTGATAGACCTGTAACTAGACTCTGGCAAGGGAGATATAAGTTGAAGTATTTTGTGGAGCTTGCAGAGTAGCCTTTTACATAAGATAACTCAAGGTGGAGTGTACACTTTGACACTTCCTCGCCCTTAGTTTGCTGCCTAAAACACTGGCACTCTTTTATCACTTGCTAACCATGTTACTTGCTTCTTATAGATTCTTTTGTATTGTTTTTGCACCTGTCTTTTTTCTTCAGTGAAAATACATCAAAAGCAAATTAAAGTCAGGGACTGTTTTTGCAAGCAATGTCACACACATGCACACACTTTGGGAGTACAGGTGGGGTTATGAAAGTAATAGACAAAGCAACCTCTGACAAGAAGTGTGTAATGAGGATAGGACTCACCTGGTGAGAATGATAACAGAACATATACAAGGAATAAATACAGATACATAGCAATACATATAGATATATTTTAATCTGTTTATAAAGTAGGTATCTTTAACTGAATTGTAAATGATCACTTTCCTTCCCTTTGCGCTAATATAGAGTTTCAGTACAGCCGTTCATGCGTTCAGAACTGAAACTCTTAGAAAAGATGAGATAGAGAAAGGCCACTCACCCTTCACAGCTGTAAAGAATCACTAATGCCCGGCTCCTACCATGATCTTAGAGAGGGCCCCTCAGTAACCATGAACCAACAGAGTCATAACCACAGAGTAGATTGTCCCCTCTCTTTTATGCCTCATAAGTCCATCTCCTGCGTTACAAGAACACTGAGCAAACTGTTGAGATGATTTCTTAAGATATAAAGGAAATAATTTAAAGATTCGTCACATGCAGTTCCTTTCTTCACTTCAGCTGCTTAAAGCAGACATATGCATAAGTTCCTTTGTAATGTTTTCATCATATACAGGAATCAAAGAAAGTGTCTACAATATTGTAAGTATACTGGAAAATTTCAATTTACCATAAAAATGCTAATGCTGATAGTAGTAGTTAATACAGTAATACTTCCAGGGACCTGGATTCTAATAGAAAACATTTCAAAATTATAGCAGCATAAAAAGAATGGCATTAATAATAAGTAGAATTTATCTCACACATAATAATATAATCACAAGTCTCCTCAATTGTTTGACACTTGAAGTAAGCCAAGTCCGGCTTAAATTGTGTGGCATGGTAGTGATCATTGGAAATGGGGGAGTGGTTTAGAGAGTGGAACCCTCCAAAACAATCTTCTGAAGCTCATTCACTATATTTGGTAGCAAAGAAACCAGCTACCTACCAAAGATTCAGGATCCCTTCTACAAAGTTGTGACCAGGAAGCAGCTGCCCTGCTATCACTGTGGGTTCACACAGACTCAGACCTGGGAATAGGAACGTGGATGAGAGTGATGTGTGTCACTTTGACCTGGCCCATGAAAACCTTCCTGTGATCTTTCAAGCTCTCTTTCAATCCCCATCACTGGCTGGAATGAAGGATCTGAGGCACTGGGGATAGTGGAACCACAATATAGGGAGAGCCTGGATGTCTGAAACACTGTGTGGAAGGTTGTTTGCCAAGGACTCACCTTATGTTGTTCTTTAATCAAAAACTAAACTTTGTTCTAAACCAATGAAATTGGGGGTTTAGCCGTCACTGGAGTTAGCTCAGGGTTAATTAGAATGGCAGGCTGTGGTGTGCCAGGAACACTTTCCCCTTTCCCCCTTCCAGGGCTAAGATTTCCCTGCACTAATAGTAATTAACAAGAAGGTTCTTTTCTTGACTTCTCCACTTCTTTGCTCTTCATACTTTCCCTTTGGCATTTTCCCAATAATGTCTCTGTTGAAACACCTGTCAATCCATCTGAGATCGAGTCTTGGTTTTCTTCTTACAGAGGCTACTCTGTAAGAAGTAGTGAGGGCTGAGCTCAGGAGTGAGGGAAATGAGAGGAGGGTGGTGGGAAGGGAAGAGATGATGGGACCAGTAAAGGAGGGCTTCCTCCTTTACTGTCCTGGCTTCCACATTCTTCCTCTTTTCCATTCTAGGACTACCTGAGTCACACCAAGTCCTGGCTTTGAGTGCTCTGCTGAGATCAGGAGGGAGGCAGAGTTGCAAAAGGGGCTTCTGGGCTCCTTCTGGAAAGGACAGAGCCAGTGACTTGCAACATAAGGGGTTTTGGGACCACACAGAAAATCAAGTCCTATTGTGCTTGTGAAAAGGTGGTGATTGACAAAGGGCCTCAAGAGGTCTAACCTGTAATTCTCTCTCTTTTCATGTTCCCTAAGGTTGTGCCAATGAATAATTGCCATTGCCATTCTTCCAAGGAGAATCAATTACTGTATCAACGGTAGCTGGCTCTTGCCTGCAATATCTCTGGAATTTAGGTCATGGCAGTATTCTAGTTCCACTTCATTAAGAGGAAACTTGCTTGAGAAACATCACCAATAAAGCCATGTTATTGCCTTTTTTGTCATGTTCCTGGATATGTACAATTTCCATATTCAGAATGGAGTAAGTCCATTTCCAAGTGTTTATGTGAGCACACATGTCAGTGTATGGGTGGGTTCCTATTCACTTCAGCATCAAGTGGTCTAGACTAGCACCTGAAAACTGCATCCTGGGGACTGAAACCTAGTTGATTATGCATCTCTAGAAGTATTGGAAGAGTTAGAAGTGCTTATTATTGTCATTTCTATGTCACAACTAGAGCAACATTGACTCGATGTGAACTCTGCCTCCAACACTTAGGAGCTGTGTAATCTTGTGCCTAGTACTCAACCTCTCTGTGCTCCAGTTTCTTCTTCCGAAATATGGGAATTGTAATGATACCTACTTGATAACAGTTATATGAACATAATACAAGATAAATAGAAACCCCTGAACACATGTAGTATCC